CTCATACTTCCCTTCAGTATGGTTGTGCTTGGGATGCAACTTCCTTCAATGTGAGTTTGTTGGTCACGTAGTTGCAGTAACAAATTTGGGCTCATACTTCTTCAATATGAGGTTGTTGTTCACAGTTGCAATGTGTAGGCTTGGATTTTCTTCAATACAAGGGTTGTTGGTCACGTAGTTGCAATGTGGTTGAGCTCGCCGCCTTCAATATGGGTTGTTGGTCACGTAGTTGCAATGTGGTTTGTGAGCGCATACTTCCTTCAATATGAGGTTGTTGGTCACGTAGTTGCAATGTGGTTGGTCTGTACTTCCTTCAATATGGATTGTTGGTCACGTAGTTGCAATGTGTTGGGCTCATACTTCCTTCAATGTAGGTTGTTGGTCACGTAGTTTAAATATGGTTGGGCTCATATTCCTTCAATATCAGGGTTGCTGGTCACGTTGTTGCAATGTGGTGGGCTCCATACCTACTTCAATAGGTTGTTGTCACGCAGTTTGCAATGTGGTTGGGCTCATGCTTCCTTCAATGTGAGGTTGTTGGTGCATAGTTTCAATGTTGTTGGTTTCAGTATGGGGTTGTTGGTCGTAGTTGCTCATATTTCCTTCAATATGTTGTTGGTCACGTAGGTCAATGTGGTTGAGCGCATACTTCAATATGAGGTTGTCACGTAGTTGTGGTTGATCTCATGCTTCCTTCAATATGGGATTGTTGGTCACGTAGTTCTGTTGTGGTTGGTTCATATTTCCCTTCAATATGTGGTTTGTTGGTCCCGTATTGCAATGTGGTTGGGCTCACACTTCCTTCAATATGGGGTTATTTGGTCACGTGTTGCAGTATTGGTTATGGCTCATGCTTCCTTCAATATAGGGTTGGTTAGTTGCAATATCGTTGGGTATATTCCTTCAATATGGTTGTTGGCTCCATACTTCCCTTCAATATGAGGTTGTTGGTCACGTAGTTGCAATGTGGTTGGGCTCATACTTCCGCCAATATGAGGTTGTTGGTTGTTCACGTCATATTTCCATCAAATGATGGTTGGGTAATTTCAATGGTTGGGCTCGTTCAATATGAGTTTGTTGGTCACGTAGTTGCAATGTTGTTGGTTGGTTATTGGTCTCGTGGTTGCAATACTTCCTTCATAGTTTGACTTCCAATATGGTTGTTGTTGGTCCGTCGCCCTTCAATAAGAGGTTGGTCACGTAGTTGCAATGTGTTTGCTCCATACTTCCCTTTATGAATTTGGACGTAGATGCAATACTTCCTTTCAATAAGAGGTTGTTGGTTATTTGCAATGTGGGCTCATAATATCTTCAAGGGTTGTTGGTCGTAGTTGCAAATATTGGTTGGCTTCAATTGGGCTCATACTTCCTTCAATATGAGTTGTTGGTCACGTAGTTGCAATGTGGTTGGGATCATACTTTACTTCAATATGGGGTTGTTGGTCACGTAGTTACCAATGTGGTTGGGCTCATACTTCCTTCAATATGAGGTTGTTGGTCGTAGTTGCAATATGGTTGGGCTCATACTCCTTCAATATGAGGTTGTTGGTCACGTAGTTGCAATATGGTTGGGCTCATATTTTCCTTCCAATATGAGTTGTTCACGTAGGTGCAATGTGGTTGGGCTCATACTTCCTTCAATATGAGGTTGTTGGTCACGTAATTGCAATGTGGTTGGGCTCATACTTCCTTCAATGAGGTTGTTGGTCACGTGGTTGCAATGTGGTTGGGCTCATACCTACCTTCAATATGAGGTTGTTGGTCACGTAGTTACCAATGTGGTTGGGCTCATACTTCCTTCAATATGAGGTTGTTGGTCGCATTTTGCATATGGTTGGACTCATACTTCCTTCAATATGGAGGTTGGTTGGTCAATATAGTTGCACAGTTGGGTTGGGCTCATACTTCCTTCAATATGATGGTTGTTGGTCACGTAGTTGCAATGTGGTTGGCCTATTTCCTTCAATATCAGGTTGTTGGTCACGTAATTGCAATATGGTTCCTATATTCTTCCTTCTATAGGAGGTTGTTGGTCATGCAGTTGCAATGTGGTTTGTCTTGGACTCATACTTCCTTCAATATGAGGTTGTTGGTCACGTAGTTGGCAATGTGGTTGGGCCTATACTTCCTGAGGTTGTTGGTCACGTAGTTGCAATATGGTTTCAATTTCCTTCAGTATGAGGTTGTTGGTCATGAAGTTGCAATGTGGTTGGGTCACACTTCCTTCAATATGGGGTTGTTGGTCACATAGTTGCAATGTGGATTTGGCTCGTACTTCCTTCAATATGAGGTTGTTGGTCGTGTTTGCAATGGTGGCTCATATTTTTCCTTCAATATGAGGTTGTTGGTCACGTAGTTGCAATATGGTTGAAACCATACTTCCTTCAATATATGAGTTTGGGCCATCAATCATTCATACTTTGCTAATGGTTGTTGGTCACGTAGTTGCAATATGGTTGGGCTCATAATTCCTTCAATATGGGGTTGTTGGTCACGTATTTGCAATGTGGTTGGGATCATACTTTCCTTCAATATGAGGTTGTTGGTCACGTAGTTGCAACTGGTTGGGCTCATACTTTACTTCAATATAGGTTGTTGTTGGTCACGTCGTTGCAATGTGGTTGGGTTCATACTTCCTTCAATATGAGTTTGTTGGTGCAATGTGGTTGGCTCATACTTCCTTCAATATGTTGGTCAATGTTGGTTGGTTGGCTCATACTTCCCTTCAATATGAGGTTGTTGGTCACGTGGTTGGAATGTGGTTGGGCTCATATTTCCTTCAATATGAGTTTGTTTGGTCACGTAGTTGCAATGTGGTTGGGCTCATACTTCCTCAATATGAGGTTGTTTTAGCAATATGAGCTCCTACTTCCTTCAATTGGGGTTGTTGGTCCGTGGTTGCAATGTTGTTGACTCATACTTCCTTCAATATGAGGTTGTTGGTCTCGTGTTGCAATATGGTGGGCTCCATACTTCCTTCAATATAAGGTTGTTGGTCACGTAGTTGCAATGTGGTTGGGCTCATACCTACTTCAATATGGGGTTGTTGGTCACGTAGTTTACGCAATGTGGTTGGGCTCATACTTCCTTCAATATGAAGGTTGTTGGTCACGTAGTTGCAATGTGGTTGGACTCATACTTCCCCTTCAATATGAGGTTGTTGGTCCGTAGTTGCAATGTGGTTGAGCTAATACTTCACTTCAATATGAGGTTGTTGGTCGCAATTGCAATGTGCATGGGCTCATATTTTCTTCAATATGAGGTTGTTGGTCACGTAGTTGCAATGTGGTTGGGCTCATACTTCCTTCAATATGAGGTTGTTGGTCACGTAGTTGCAATGTGGTTGGGCTCATACTTCCTTCAACATGAGGTTGTTGGTCACGTAGTTTGCAATGTGGTTCGCATACTTCCTTCAATATAGGGTTGTTGGTCACGTAGTTGCAATGTGGTTGGGCTCATACTTCCTTCAATATCAGGTTGTTGGTCACAGTTGCAATAAGGTTGTTCAGGTTGTTGGTCATGTAGTTGCAATGTGGTTGGGCTCATACATCATTCGGTATGAGGTTGTTGGTCATACTTCCCTTCAATGAGGTTGTTGGTCACGTAGTTGCAATGTGGTTGGGATCATACTTTCCTTCAATATGAGGTTGTTGGTCACGTAGTTGCAATGTGGTTGGGGCTTCCTTCAATATCACACTTCAATCAATATCAGGTTGTTGGTCATGTAGTTTGCAATGTGGTTGGGCTCTTCCTTCATAGTTGTTGGTCAGGTAGTTTCAATGAGTTGGCTCATACTTCATTCAATATGATGTTGTTGGTCACGTAGTTGCAATGTGGTTGGACTCCATACTTCCTTCAATATGAGGTTGTTGGTCGCAGATTTTTTCAAATGTTGTTGGGCCCTAGCTTTCTTTCCTTCTTCTCGTAGATTAGGTGGTTGAGCTCACTAATTTTCAATATGAGTTTGTTGGTCACAATTTGCATATGGTTGGACTTACTTCCTTCAATGAGGGTTGTTTAATTCACGTAATGTGGTTGGGCTCATACTTCCTTCAATATGAGGTTGTTGGTCACGTAGTTGCAATGTGTTTGGGCTCATGCTTCCTTCAATATGAGGTTGTTGGTCACGTAGTTGCAATGTGGTTGGGCTCATATTTCCTTCAATATGTGGTTGTTGGTCTCGTAGTTGCAATATGTTGGGCTCATAATTCCTTCAATATGAGTTTGTTGAATGCATAGTTGCAATGTGGGTTGGGCTCATACTTCCTTCAATATGAGGTTGTTGGTCACGTAGTTGCAATGTGGTTGGGCTCATACTTCCTTCAATATGGGTTTGTTGGTCAGGTTGTTGGATCATACCTACTTCAATATACGGTTGTTGCAATGTTACTTCAGTTGGTTGGCTCATGCTTTCCTATCTTCAATATGGTTGTTGGTCGTAGTTGCAATATGGTTGAGCTCATACTTCCTTCAAAATGTGGTTGTTGGTCACGTAGTTCCAATGTGGTTGGCTCATACGTCCTTGAGTTGTTGGTCACGTACTATGTGGTTGAGGTCACCTTCCTTCAATAGGTTGTTGGTCACGTAGTTTCCCAATGTGGTTGGGCTCATACTTCCCTTCAATATGAGGTTGTTGGTCACGTAGTTACAATGTGGTTGGACTCATACTTCCTTCAATATGTTGTTGGTCACGTAGTTTGCAGCTGCTTTCCTTCAGTATGAGTTTGTTGGTCACATGGTTCATATGTAGTTGGGGTTTTCCTTCAATATGAGGTTGTTGGTCACGTAGTTGCAATGTGGTTGGGCTCATATTTCCTTCAATATGAGGTTGTTGGTCACGTAGTTGCAATATGGTTGGGCTCATACCGACCATCAATATGAGGTTGTTGGTCACGTAAGTTGCAATGTGGTTGGGCTCATACTTCCTTCAATATCAGGTTGTTTGTCACGTAATTGCAATGTGGTTGGGCTCTTCACTTCCTTCCATATTGGGTTGTTGGTCACGTAGTTGCGTATCCTTGGCGCATACTTCCTTGAATATATGAGGTTTTTTGGTCACGTAGTTGCAATGTGGTTGGGCTCATACTTCCCTCAATATGAGGTTGTTGGTCACGTAGTTGCAATATGGTTGGGCTCCTACTTCCTTCAATATGAGTTTGTAGGTCACGTAGTTGCAATGTGGTTGGGCTCATACTTCCTTCAATATGAGTCTGTTGGTCACGTAATTGCAATTTGGTTGGGCGCATACTTCCTTCCATATGTGGTTGTTGGTCACGTAGTTGCAATGTGGTTGGGCTCAATCGTCCTTCGATATGAGGCTGTTGATCACGTAGTTGCAATGTGGTTGGGCTCATACTTCCTTCAATATGAGGCTGTTGGTCACGTAGTTGCAATGTGGTTGAGCTCGCTTCCTTCAATATAAGGAGGTTGTTGGTCACGTAGTTGCAATGTGGTCTGATAATATCCTTCAATTGGAGTTGTTGGTCACGTAGTTTGCAATATGGTTGGGCTCACACTTCCTTCTATCAGGTTGTTGGTCACGTAGTTTGCAGTAATAGTTTGGGCTCATACATCCTTCAATGTAAGGTTGTTTGGTCACATGGTTGCAATGTGGTTGGGCTCATATTTCCTTCAATATGAGGTTGTTGGTCATTTGGAGTTGCAATATGGTTGGGCTCGCAATTTCCTTCAATATGGGGTTGTTGGTCACGTAGTTTGCAATGGTTTGGCTCAGATTTCCTTCAATATGAGGGTTGTTGGTCACCTGGTTGCAATGTGGTTGGGATACTTCCTTCAATATGAGATTGTTGGTCACGTAGTTGCAATATGGTTGGGTTCATATTTCCTTCAATGTTTATGAGTTGTTGGCTCACGCCCTTCAATATGAGGATGTTGGTCAGGTAGTTACCCAATATGGTTGGTTCATAATTCCATCAATATGAGGTTGTTGGTCACGTAGTTGCAATATGGTTGGGTTCATATTTCCTTCAATATGAGTTTGTAGGTGCGTAGTTGCAATATAGTTAGGCTCATACTTCCTTCAATATGAGGGTTATTTGGTCACGTAGTTGCAATGTGGTTAGATATAATTTCTTCAATAAGGGGTTGTTAGTCACGTAGTTGCAATGTGGTTTGGGCTCCATACTTCCTTCAATATGGGGTTGTTGGTCACGTAGTTACCAGTAATGATTTGAGCTCATACTTTCTTCAATATGAGGTTTTTGGTCACGTGGTTGGAATGTGGTTGGGCTCATACTTCCTTCAATATGAGGTTGTTGGTCACGTGGTTGCAATGTGGTTGGGCTCATACTTTATTCAACATGAGGTTGTTGGTCACGTAGTTGCAATATGGTTGGGCTCCTACTTCCTTCAATATGGGGTTGTTGGTCACGTGTTTGCAATGTGGTTGGGCTCATACTTCCCTTCAATAGTCACGTAGATACCGTGTGGTTTGTTGGTCCGTAGTTGCAATGTGGTTGGGCTCGTACCTCCTTCAATTTGAGATTGTTGGTCACGTAGTTTTGGAGATGGTTGGGCTCATACTTTCCTTCAATATGAGGTTGTTGGTCACGTAGTTGCAATGTGGTTGGACTCATACTTCCCTTCAATATGAATTTGTTGGTCACGTAAGTTGCAATGTGGTTGGCTCATACTTCCTTCAATATGGGGTTGTTGGTCACGTAGTTACCCAATATGGTTGGGCTCATACTTTCCTTCAATATGAGGTTGTTGGTCACGTAGTAGTTTCAATGCAATATGGTTGGGCTCCTACTTCCTTCAATATGAGGTTGTTGGTCACGTAGTTGCAATGTGGTTGGGCTCATACTTCCTTCAATATGAGGTTGTTGGTCACGTAGTTTGCAATGTGGTTGGGCTCATACTTCCTTCAATATGAGGTTGTTGGTCACGTAAGTTGCAATGTGGTTGGGCTCATACATCCTTCAATATGAGGGTTGTTGGTCACGTAGTTGCAATGTGTTTGGGCTCATACTTCCTTCAATATGAGGTTTTGGTCACGTAGTTACCAATATGGTTGGACTATGTGGTTTCCTTCAATATGAGGTTGTTGGTCACGTAGTTTATGTGGTTGGGCTTTTCTTCAATATGAGGTTGTTGGTCACGTAGTTGCAATGTGGTTGGGCTCATACTTCCTTCAATATGGGTTGTTGGTCACGTAGTTGCAATATGGTTGGGCTTATCTTCCTTCAATATGAGTTGTTGGTCTCGTAGTTGCAATATGGTTGCTCATACTTCCTTCAATATGGAGGTTGTTGGTCACGTAGTTGCAATGTGAGTTTGTTGGGCGTAGTTGTAATGTGGTTGGCTCATCCTTCAATATGAGGTTGTTGGTCACGTAGTTGCAATGTGGTTGGGCTCATACTTCCTTCAATATGAGTTTGTTGGTCACGTAGTTGCAATGTGGTTGGGCTCTATACTTCCTTCAATATGAGTTTTGTTGGTCACGTAGTTGCACGTATGTTTGGGCTCATACTTCCTTCAGTATGAGTTGTTGGTCACGTAGTTGCAATGTTTGGAGGCTCATACTTCCTTCAATATGAGTTGTTTCACGTAGTTGCAATGTGGTTGAGGCTCATACTTCCTTCAATATGAGGTTGTTGGTCACGTAGTTGCAATGTGGTTGGGCTCATACTTCCTTCAATATGAGGTTGTTGGTCACGTAGTTGCAATGTTGTTGGTCATACTTCCTTCAATATGAGGTTGTTGGTCACGTAGTTGCAATGTGGTTGGGGCTCATTCCTCAATATCAGGTTGTTGGTCACGTAGTTGCAATATGCTTGGGCTCATACATCAATATGGTTGTTGGTCACGTAGTTGCAATGTGGTTGGGCTCATACTTCCTTCAATATGAGGTTGTTGGTCACGTAGTTGCAATGTGGTTGGGCTCATACTTACTTCAATAAGAGGTTGTTGGTCACGTAGTTTGCAATGTGGTTGGTCTCATACTTCCTTCAATTTGAGGTTGTTGGTCACGTAGTTGCAAGTTGCAATGTGGTTGGGCTCATGCTTTTTCCTTCAATATGAGGTTGTTGGTCACGTAGTTGCAATGTGGTTGGGCTCATACTTCCTTCAATATGAGGTTGTTGGTCACGTAGTTGCAATGTGGTTGGGCTCATATTTCTTCAATATGAGGTTGTTGGTCACGTAGTTGCAATGTGGTTGGGCTCAGTACTTCCTTCAATCATGAGGAGGTTGTTGGTCACGTAGTTGCAATGTCGTTGGGCTCATGCTTCCTTCAATATGAGGTTGTTGGTCTCGTATTTGCAATGTGGTTTATCTTCCTTCAATGTGAGTTTGTTGGTTAGAAAGGGTAATATGGTTGGGCTCATACTTTCCTTCAGTATATGAGGTTGTTGGTCACGCAGTTTGCAATGTGGTTGGTCTCATACTTCCTTCAATTTGAGGTTGTTGGTCACGTAGTTGCAATGTGGTTGGGCTCATACTTCCTTCAATATGAGGTTGTTGGTCACGTAGTTGCAATGCGGCTTGGGCTCATATTTTCTTCAATATGAGGTTGTTGGTCACGTTTGCAATGTGGTTGGGCCTATACTTCCTTCAATATGAGGTTGTTGGTCACGTAGTTGCAATGTGGTTGGGCTCATATTTCCTTCAATATGAGTTTGTTGGTCACGTAGTTGCAATATGTGGTTGTTGGCTCATACTTTCCCTTCAATATGAGGTTGTTGGTCACGTAGTTGCAATATGGTTGGGCTCATATGGTTCCTTCAATATGAGTTTGTTGGTCTGTAGTCACGTTGGGGCCTACATCATTCAGTATTGTTGGGCTGACCCACTTACTTCAATATGAGGTTGTTGGTCACGCTTAAGTTCAATGTGGTAATATGGGCTCATACTTCCTTCAATATGAGGTTGTTGGTCACGCATGGTTGCAATGTGGTTGTCACGGCTCATACTTCCTTCAATATGAGGTTGTTGGTCACGTAGTTTGCAATGTGGTTGGGCTCATACTTCCTTCAATATGAGGTTGTTGGTCACGTAGTTGGATATGGTTTGGTCACTCAATGTTGTTTCATATCCCTTCAATATGAGGTTGTTGGTCACGTAGTTGCAATGTGGTCACGGAGCTCATACTTCCTTCAATATGAGGTTGTTGGTCACGTGCAATGGTTGCAATCAATGTGGTTGGGCTCAATGTACTTCCTTTAAATATGAGGTTGTTGGTCACGTGCAATGCGGTTTGCAATGTGGTTGGGCTCATACTTCCTTCAATATGAGGTTGTTGGTCACGTGGTTGCAATATGGTTGGGCTCATACTTCCTTCAATATGGGTTGTTTGGTCACGTAGTTGCACATGGTTGGGCTCATATTTCCTTCAATATGAGGTTGTTGGTCACGTAGTTTCAATGTGAGTTTGTGGTGTAGTTGCATGTGGTTATTTCCTTCTAATATGAGGTTGTTGGTCACGTAGTTGCAATGTGGTGGCTCATACTTCCCTTCAATATGAGGTTGTTGGTCACGTAGTTGCAATGTGGTTGGGCTTACTTCCTTCAATATGAGGTTGTTGGTCACGTAGTTGCAATACTTCGCCATTTTCCTTCAATATGAGGTTGTTGGTCACGTAGTTGCAATATGGTTGGGCTCATATTTCCTTCAATATGAGGTTGTTGGTCACGTAGTTGCAATGTGGTTGGCATACTTCTTCTAATCACGTGGTTGTTGGTCACGTAGTTGCAAATGTTGTTGGTCTACTTCCTTCAATATGAGGTTGTTGGTCACGTAGTTGCAATGTGGTTGGGCTCATATGTTTGGGCTCTTCAATATGAGGTTGTTGGTCACGTAATTTTTAATGTGGTTGGAGCTCATACTTCCTTCAATATGAGGTTTGTTGGTCAATATGCGTAGTTGCAATGTGGTTGGGCTCATACTTCATTCAATATGAGGTTGTTGGTCTCGTAGTTGCAATGTGGTTGGGCTCATACTTCCTTCAATATGGTTAAATACACTTCCTTCAATATGAGGTTGTTGGTCACGTAGTTGCAATGTGGTTGGGCTCATACTTCCTTCAATGTGAGGTTGTTGGTCACGTAGTTGCAATGGTTGGGCTCATACTTCCTTCAATATGAGGTTGTTGGTCACGTAGTTGCAATGTGGTTGGGCTCATAATTCCTTCAATATGAGGTTGTTGGTCACGTAGTTGGAACACCGGTCATACTTTCCCTTCAATATGAGGTTGTTGGTCTCGTATGTGGTTGGGTTGCATTCATGTGGTTGGGCTCATACTTCCTTCAATATGAGGTTGTTGTTGGTCACGTAGTTGCAATGTGAGGTTGTTGGCTCATAGTTTTTCCTTCAATATGGTTGTTGGTCACGTAGTTGCAACGTGGTTGGGCTCATACTTCCTTCAATATGAGGTTGTTGGTCACGTAGTTGCAAAGTGGTTGGGCGCATACTTCCTTCAAATGTAAGGGTTGTTGGTCCATCAATATGATGTAGTTGCAATATGGTTGGCGAGAGATTGTTGGGTCATACTTCCTTCAATATGTTGGGTTGTTGGTCACGTGAGTTTATTTATGGTCTGTAGTTGCAATGTGGTTGGGCTCATACTTCCTTCAATATGAGGTTGTTGGTCACGTATTTGCAATGTGGTTGGGCTCATACTTCCTTCAATATGAGGTTGTTGGTCACGTAGTTGCAATGTGTTTTGGGCTCATACTTCCTTCAATATGAGGTTGTTGGTCACGTAGTTGCAATGTGGTTGGGCTCATACTTCCTTCAATATGAGGTTGTTGGTCACGTAGTTGCAATGTGGTTGGGCTCATACGTCCTTCAATATGAGGTTGTTGGTCACGTAGTTGCAATGTGGTTGGGCTCATACCTACTTCAATATGAGGTTGTTGGTCACGTAGTTTACCCAGTAATGGTTGGGCTCATACTTCCGTCAATATGAGGTTGTTGGTCTCGTAGTTGCAATATGGTTGGACTCACACTTCCTTCAATATGAGGTTGTTGGTCACGTAATAGTTGCAATGAGGTTTGGGTCACACATACTTCCTTAAATATGAGGTTGTTGGTCACGTAGTTTTGCAATGTATGGTTGGGCTCATACTTCCTTCAATATGAGGTTGTTGGTCACGTAGTTGCAATGTGGTTGGGCATCTTCCTCATACTTCCTTCAATGTATGGGGTTGTTGGTCACGTAGTTGCAATGTGGTTGGGCTCATACTTCCTTCAATATGAGGTTGTTGGTCACGTAGTTGCAATGTGGTTGGGTCTCATAGCTCTTCCTTCAATATGAGTTGGTTGTTGGTCACGTAGTCAGGTCTTTGGCAATGTGGTTGGGCTCATGCTTCCTTCAATATATGGGTTGTTGGTCACGTTTTGCAATGTGGTTGGTCACGGTTCAATGTGGTTGACCTCCTTCAATATTATGAGGTTGTTGGTCACGTAGTTGCAATGTGGTTGGGCTCATACTTCCTTCAATATGAGGTTGTTGGTCACGTAGTTGCAATGGTTGGGCTCATATTTCCTTCAATATAAGTTTGTTGGTCACGTAGTTGCAATGTGGTTGGGCTCATACTTCCTTCAATATGAGGTTGTTGGTCACGTAGATTGCAAT